CAATGGTTAGCTTTCAGCCTTCGCTATTCGCTGCTCCTTACTCAGCACTGCAGCTTTTCTCTATAAAGGACATCTGTACTCTCCTAATCAAGAATGATTCCATTGAAAGGTGTCAGTTCAGCCTTTGCCCAAACAACAGATTTGTCCTTATGCCCGGAATAGACGTCTTCTGATTTTGACGTATGTCTAACTGTTCTTACCTTAGATCAGCCTTTCTCAAACTTTTCAACACAGCGGGACCCTTGAAATAGCTTTCCGGTCTTAGGGAAGCCCTGGTAAAAATTACTAAATCTACAACACTTGATACATTAGTGTGATGGTCAGTGGTAAGAATGCTCCTTACGCTTGTGGTCATTGGGAAGAATTACCCCCTTACAGATAGCTGAAAAGATCAATGATGTCAGTGGCAACTTATCTGAGATGCTGGAATTGCTCATTGCTCAAGGAACCCCTGGCAATCTCTAGAGGAACCTTGGTTGAGGCACCCTTCCTTAGACTATTCCGGTGTATTGTGTTACCAGTGTTTGTCTGTGCTTATCTTGATCAACGGCATGTTATTCTGCTAATTTCCATTATTGCTCCATTTATCTGGACTCTGAGTTTGATCTGGTCACTAGCCTGTTGACTATGCTACTGTCTGCTCTTTACCATGACCATGGGTCTACCGACTTACACCACCCTGTATTGGTCCTGCCTATAGAAGCTTGTTCATGCAGAGTATTCCAAACCCTTTAAGTGCTCTCTTTTTTAATATTTAATCCCAGCAACAGTACAGTAAAATGCTATCAAATATCTTTTATTTGCATCTTAGCTGGTGCTTATACCAGTAGTCATTTGTGCTCCTGAGCCTGACATTATCACGTATGCAAATAAATAAATAAATAACCTTCCTGTGCCCTTTTATATAAATTAACCCCTACTGGTAGTTCCATTTAAATACCTAAATATGTACAATAACTGAAGTCACTCATAACTATTTGAAGCCATTCAAATGCAGATTTTTTATAAATGTAGGGGAAGTACCTAATAATGCTTAAAAGCAGATTGTAAAGCAAAGAAAGATACGGTAGGCAGTAGGTAATCTATAAAAGTGCTACTTATCTCTTCAGGAAAGCAAGATGGATTGTTTAGTGCTTAGCATGTTATCACAGAAAATACTATTCAGCCAAAGAAAATCAATAAAACTAATTGTAAATTAATAGATTTCTAAGTGTGGAGAAGCATGTGATAATATAGATGAGATCTCCGAGGATTGTGTTTGTTCTAGTTTAAGGGTAAGGACCCCATGCTGTTTAATGTGACATTTTCAAGTGTAAACACATTTCTGCTTCTTCTCCCTGTAGAATAAAACTGTGACTGTAGCATAAAACAGGGCCATTAGCCACCCACCGTTAAATGGGGAAATAAGTACACCCATGAAAAAACATACAAATAGCCAGATAATTCAACATGTGGGTCAAAATATCTGCAAGCATGACAAATCTTTTATTGCTACACCATTTTACGTATCACTTTTTTTATCACTTTCAAAGCATTGTAAGCACACAAAATGTTTTAATTCTTTTAATTTAAGAACAATGTGATTTAGCATTTGTAGATGCAGTTAGTCAGTCTAATTAAAACGGATATTTTATTTTTAAATTAATCGTAAATGGTTACTTTTGTTTTACATTAGCAGGGAAAGTGAGAGTGATCTGAGAATTTCAGCCAGAAATATCATCACTGGAGACATTTGATAACGTAGGGGATGAAGTAACCCTCCAGCGTCCACCCATAACTGAAATATTTGTTTTGGCAGAATTGATCATTTAAATTTAAGATATAATAATTGAAATTGAATTAAAAAAAAATAGCTTCTTACCTAAAGAACTTGTAAAACAGATCCAACTGTATATTTCTAGATAAACATTTATAGATTATATTTTTGAGTAGAGTTTACCTAAAACTGTTACAACAAAATATTTTCCATACACAAGTTTCTTATTGTCAGCATTTGTGATCAGGTACAGAAAAAACCCCTGAAATAGTAATGCACAACTGTAGTAATAAATGCACATGCACGCTGTTAACAATTTTATAGCATAACAAGTAACTTTGAGTGTGATTATTTAGAATAGAGTTGCAAGTCACAATCACAGGGCTTAAGGCCCCATTCACACTTTAGGTAGTGGAAAAGTGCATCCCTGTTTATTGTGCGTTTTTGCTGTATTCCAATGCTTCATGTATGGGGCAGCCCATTAACTTGAATAGGCTGCCCTCTGCCTGACAAGTGCGCCAAAGAAGCCCCGGCACCTTTTCAGAAGTGGAGTGTCATGTTTTTTCAGCACGACTTTTACTGCATTTGAGGTGCCATTATGAATGAATAGCACCCAAATGCGCTTTGCACAATTCTGCCCATGATTTCGGATATGTGAAGTGTGAATGTGGTCTTGGTAAGATGACCTAGAGGGAATTTGTTATCCTTGGTGACTGAATATTATTTAAAACATGTAATATTTGTTTTTAGGGATGATTCAAACATGCAATAAGCTGCACTTTCAGAAGCAGATCATTGCAATAGCATTAAATAAGGGTTCTGTGCAGATATGCTCTGCTCTATACATGTCATTGGATGAATAGAGTTCTTTTGCAGATACTGTGTGAATAAACACATGGGAATGTAATTTCTGACCACTAATGCCCAGGCCTACAGTTTTTCACAGTTTACAGTTGATTAAATTTTAGCAAATAAGATGTACTCATGTTTACTTTGAATACCCAATCATATGTGTAGAAAATTTAAAAAATGTTATTGCTATTACATTACTAGTTGATTGAAATGAACAAAACATCACTTTGTTTACTCAGTTCAGTGAATATGCACCTTTCAAACATCTGATGTCTAATTAAAAAGAATCTGTTACCAAATAATGCATTACATAGGGGACTTTTTAAAAAGTTAAAAGTTAAAAAAAATGGTGCACCCAGTCCATAGAAGTTGACCCCTGTGGTTTTGATGGAAAAAAGAGTGGTTGGAAAAACCCCAAAGGAGAAGATTGGGATGTCTTATTGCATGCACAGGTCAGACACAAGGCCACATAGCTTCTGACATCTTACTAGTAAACAAGCCACCAAAAAGCAATGTGATAAAATATCTTGGCTTAGAAAGCTCAAAATGCCCAGCAAGTTTAAATCCATGCACAAACCTAAGGTCTTCTATCCAAACTGATTCAGGTACATAGAGGTACGTAGAGATGATGAGTCCAAAAGTCGTTCTTGTACTCAAGGTCAATGTCCCTGGAAAGATGATTGAGAAATGGGTCACTCTTAGAGGAGATTCAAGAATGACTTGGAACTTGTGGACCCTAGGACCAATGTGCTTCTCTAGATGACAATCTCTTGGCAAAACAAATAAATTCCAAATTTTTATGATCAGCAAGAACAGTTACAAGATGATTAGCCCTTTCAGCAGATGCCTCCATTCAGAAAAGGCTTCCTTAGCTGCCATAAACTCTTTATTCCTAATTTCATAATCCTTTTCAATTGAAGACATTAAATGATAGAAATAAGCACCAGGATGAAACTGCATTTTTTCACCTATTCACTGAGAAAGGATGGCATGCTATGGCAAAATCTGAAACATTCACTTCCACGATAAAAGAAAGTTCAGGATCAGGATGAACCAATATTGGTGCAGAAGTGAAAGAGTCTTTAGCTTACTAAAGGCAGTTTGTACCTCAGGTGACCACAGGGTATTCCTTTCTTTTCTACGGCATACTTGGTGCTATCACAGGAATATTTGCTGTAAAAACCTTTCTTGTATAGACATTTTCAAGCCTTAAGAATGTGGCTGAGTGGTGCCATCTTAGATGTGATGTCAGCAGCCCCAGCAGACTTGGAGCTCTCACTCAAGTGACATTCTATAGCAGTGTTTCTCAACCATCTTTGAAACTATGGACAGTCTTGAGGAACCCCATTCTAAAATGTAAAGAACTATTATAATAGTTTTATATAACGCAGCAACATCCACGCATGTAGGACACCCAATGTTAGAGGTAACTTATTCTTCCAAAGCAAATACACTTTTGCACGCTGGTGCTGACTTGCATTCCACTGTTTCTCTTCTCCTTCAGTTTTTCTCCATCACTCAGCTAATGTGACCCCAGTACTGACGGAGAGGAGCAGGGGAGAGTCAAACAAGGATGCTGTGCAGTAACCAACATCCTCCTTATCAACTGATGATGCCATTGGTTGTCAGGATGCCGGTGGCTAGAAGGTTGTAATGGTGCACAATGAAAACCTGTGGCTTTGTGTAACTAAAATGTAGGCTTGTTCCACCAGCTGGCTTGTATACAAGTTTTGGGCAATTTGTAGACATTTTGCCAAGGCACCCCGGGGTGCCTGGGCACCCTGGTTGAGAAAGGCTGCTCTATAGTAATCTCCTTACATCTCATCCATTAGTTACATACACTATATTGACAAAAGTATTGGGGCGCCTGCCTTTAAACGCACATGAACTCTAATGGCATCCCAGTCTTACTCCATAGGGTTCAATACTGAGTTGGCCCACCCTTTGCAGCTATCACAGCTTCAGCTTGTCTGGGAAGGCTGTCCACAAGGTTTAGAAGTATGTCTATGGGAATGTTTGACCATTCTACCAGAAGCGCATTTGTGAGCTCAGGCACTGATGCCAGACGAGAAGGCCTGGTTTGCAGTCTCCGCTCTAATTCATCCCAAAGGTGTTATATCAGGTTGAGGTAAGGACTGTCTAGGCCATTCAAGAATCTGCACCCCAACTTGCTCAACCATGTCTTTATGGACCTTGCTTTGTGCACTGGTGCACAGTAATGTTGGAACAGGAAGGGGCCATCCCCAAACTGTTCCCACAAAGCTGGGAGCATGAAATTGTCCAAAATGTCTTGGTATACTGACAACTTAAGAGCTCCCTTCACTGGAACAAAGGGGCCAAGCCCAACCCCTGAAAAACGACCCCACACCATAATCCCTCCCTCCACCAAACTTTACACTTGGCACAATGCAGTCAGGCAATTACCATTCTCCTGGCAACTGCCAAACCCATACACGTCCATTGGATTTCCAGACAGAGAAGCAGAGAAAGAGAGCTCTAGAGTCCAGTGGCGGCATGCTTTATACCACTGCATCCGACGCTTTGCATTGCACTTGGTGATGTAAGGGTTTGGCAATGAAAACCCATTCCATGAAGCTCTCTACGCAATGTTGTTGTGCTAATCTGAAGGCCACATGGAGTTTGGGGGTCTTTAGCTATTGCCTGCAGACCGTTCGAGACTTCTGCGCACTGTGTGCTTCAGCATGCACTGACCCCACTCTGTCACACTTTACGTACGTGGAGTTGCTGTTGTTCCCAGTTGATTCCACTTTGCTATAATACCCCTAACAGTTGACCATAGAATATTTAGTAGCAAGGAAATTTCATGGATGAACCTATTGCACAGGTGGCAACCTATCACAGCACCATGCTTGAATTCACTGAGCTCCTGAGAGCAACCCATACTTTCACAAATGTTTGTAGAAGCAGTCTGTATGCCTAGGTGCTTGATTTTATATACCTGTGGCAATGGTGGTGATTGGAACACCTTAATCCAATGATTTGGAGGGCTGTTCCTATACTTTTGGCAATATAGTGTAATTTATGTAAGGAGGGGAGGGGCATTAGAGCTGCCAGAATGGACATTAATTTGGAACTCCCAGAAGAAAAAAATCTATGATGTGCAAAGAAAAGGGAAAGGAATTAGTCAACTAGTCAATTTTCTAGCAAGTTCAAAAGGCATACTGCAAATGAAGAATAATAGATCATGAAAAGGAAAACCACTGCAAATAGGCATTTAAATACTTGATTTTTCTGTGCTTTCACCTGAAAATAAGTTGGTGACAGGGTCTTTTTAAGGTTAAAGTTTTTAGATTAAAAACACATTTAAATTTTAAACATTTTCAAAGCTGGTCATAGCTTTTTATAAATTGGATTATTTGGTGCCCACTAGAGTGTTCACGTTTGAGGGCCACAGTTGCATTTACTATTAGGCACTTAAGGACCAAGGGTATTGTATTTCTTTCCATTATAATATTTGCATAGCAAAGAGGTATAGCCACTTTTTAGGGGAATATTTTTTTTTTTAAATATGTCTAATGCATGGTTTCTAAATACAACCCAGATGGGATACTGCATCTATGCAGTTTACCCTTTCTGCCTTTTCCCGAAACAGTTTCAAATAAAGCAATTCATTTTAAATCTATTGTATGTACAAACAAGTCTGGCACTCATGTAGTTATTAACCTCCCAACATATAATTTGCAATGTATAAGTGTGGCTCACCAGTTAAATATGTAGCAATACATATTGCTTTTATTGATGTTCCAAAGCTGAAATATAAATGGAACTTCAATAAAGAGACAGCAGAGACACAAACATAATTTTCGTTAAAGTAATCTGTCTATGGTATGCTATAGACATTGTCAGTTTGAGTTGATAAGTACAGAAAGTGCCTTAAAAAGCATCTGGTGAAAAAAAAGGAACTGATATTGCTTTGTCATCCTAATAATAGTGAAAGCCTATTTCATAGTGCATTTAACCATGCAATGAAAGTACTTTCTAGGATAACCTAGTTGCCCAGTAGGCTCTCATGATGGCCTTAAAACACCCCTGTCAAATACGTTACAGCATATTTAACAGTGTGGTACAAGCTGCATGATTACAAAAGTAGAATTGTATGAGAGTCGTTCAAGTCAAACCGGGGCTTTTCATTTTACAGGCATAAAAAGGGATGCTAGCGTGGCAGTACTACATTCAGTAGTAAGTGGCAAGTGTGTCCTATTACCAATAGGTGCACACGTCGCAAGCCAGTCCAGAGACCGTTAATCAAGATGGCAGACAACAGCATTAGGGCGTGCATGGAACAGCATGTGGTGATGAAGTTTCTTGTGAAGGAAGGTGTAAAACTCACGGATATCTACAGAAGACTTCACACACAGTATGGTGATGAGACATTCATCCGCAGTAAGACATTTGCATGGTGTAAGCATTTCAAAGATGGCAATATGTCCATCAGTGATGATCCAGATCATGGTGGTTCCCAGTCCACAGCAGTCATTCCTGTGAACATTCAACATGTGGAAAACCTGATCCTGGATAATCAACGCATAATCTGCTGTGAAATTGCACAAGAGATTATTCTTTCTATGGGAATGGTGAACACAATGATGACGAAGTGAAATAGGCTGTCCTAGGATAGTTCAGGCTTACTGACAAATATTTCTATGCTGAAGCTTTCCAGGCATTAGCTAAACACTGGGATGCATGTATAAATGTAGTAGGGGAGTATGTAAAAAAATAAATGCAGTTTCCACTTCTTGAAATGTGTTGTTTTATTATACAAACTCAAAAGTCCTGATTTGACTTGACCCCCCCTTTTTTTGATTGTAAGATAATGCAAGAATGAATGTTTTTACTTTACCTAATCAAATAGTTATAACATTACTAGAGGGCATAGTAAGCAACAGATTAATAGAAAACTCCACTCCTTATGACCAAGTCCATCAACCAATGCCAAGCTGCAAGATGGATAGGCACCATATCAATACATAAACATAATCCAAGTCCAAAGTTCATGAGTTGATATCCTGTTTTAAGGTGCAAACAAACAAGTGTAAAAGTGCTCTACCTATCAAAACTAATCAATAATAATCCAGAATAATCCAGACATTAAAACTGTATGTCAAATAAAACCACTTTCTTTATTCTATGGCACAGCAAATACATGTTAGGCAAATTCGCCAATACCGCCTTTGAGTTGTAACTGTATGCCTCCAGAAATAGGTACATTTTTACAACATATGCTTAATCACAAGATAGGCAAAATGTGATCATTCTAGCACCATGCACAGTAAGATTATTGTACAGTTTATTCAAATTAGCTTTTTTATGCAATACTCCTTTTACGCATATGGGAAGTTCTGGTAATGGTTCAAGAAAAACACTATACTCTAAAGCGGTCTCCAAACTGCGGCCTGGGGGCCGGATGCAGACCTTAGATTGCCTTTATCTGGCCCTTGGGGCACTATTTCTCCCACTGATATGAGGCACCATTCCTTCCACTAACACCGACATAATTCCTCCCACTGATATAAACTACAGAACACTATTACTTCCACAAACACTTCCACAAGATGGTGCACTTTTCCTCCCACTGGTACCATCATTAGGGTACTATTCCTGCCACTGACATGGGGCATCATTCCATTCACTGATATAAAATATAGAGGACTATTACTCCCACTAACACTAAAGATGGGGCACTATTCCTGCCACTGATACCAATGTTGGAGCACCAGTCCATCCAATGACACCAATGTTGGGGCACCAGTCTTTCCACTGACATCAATTTTGGGGCACCGGTCCTTCCACTGATACCAGTATTGGGGCTATTTTCTTTCATTGATACCAGTGTTGGGGAACCATTCCTTCCCCTGGCACCAATGTTGGGGCACTATTCCTCTCACTGATACCAATAGGGCGTGATTCCTTCTACTGAAACCAAAGATTGGGCACTATGGGCACAATTCACACTAAGCGGTATCTTACCACATCCGAGTATGTGGTAGAATACGGCACAGCATTTAAAAAAAAAAACATTTGAATTCACTAAAAAAAGCTACTAAAATACCGCATGAGTCACGCATGAGTCACGCATGAGTCACTGCATGAGTCACGCCTTATTTTAGTAGTGAAAACCATGTGTTAACGTTTCAGCTGTCAACAGGGTTCCCCACAAACAACTGAATGTAAAAGAAAGAATTGCTGGCAATGAAAAATATAATTTAAAAAACATGTGGGCCCTTCGGTCTGGTATGGATGTTGAGGGGAACCCCCATGTCAAAATTAAAAAAAAAATTGGCGTGGGGGCCCCAAAATCCATAACAGTCCGTTATCCGAGCATATAAGGAAAGGGGGGATGCGCCCCCTCCTGAACCATACCAGGCCACATGCCCTCAACATGGGGGGGTGCTTTGGGGTGGGGGGGCGGCAGCGGGTATCATGATTGACGTTGGATCTACTTTGGGGTACATTCTTTTATTTTTCTTCTTTTAATAAGGAGTTGTAAAAGACTGTCTCCTGTCTTTTTTTCACACTACATGTCTTTTTTGTGAATGGTTAGCGGTACCATGTACTGCATACTCATTCACATAGGGGGGGTGGGATCTGAGGGCCCTATTGCTAAAGGGGACTTCCAGATTCCGATAAGCCCCACACCCGCAGACCCCGACAACCACCAGCCAGGGTTGTGGAGAAGAGGCCTTTGGGGACAAGGTGCTTTGGAGGGAAGCCCACTTGCTTGCCCCCCCCCCCTTTCCTGACCTGCCAGGCTGCATACTAAAGGTCTGGTATGGATTTTGGGGGGACCCCCATGCCATTTTCTTTTAATTTTGGCATGGGGGTTCCCCTAAAAATCCATACCAGACCCAAAGGGCTTGGTATAGATTGGGGGGACCCCACACCATTTTTTAAATTATTTTTTAACTGCTGGTAGAAAAAAAGGAAAAAAAGGTTAAAAAATAAAACGAATGCAGCTGCCACATCTAGGGATGTGTACTATGCCCAGTAGTACTGATTTTCCAAATATAGGGGACATTAAAAAAAGAATGCACTTCTTCTTCTTCTGTAACAAAGAAAAATTATGATTCTTTCAGAAGACACAAAGCTTTTAACAGCCCCACAGGTGTAGTGACACAGAATACCTAAGCTCGACCTTTCTTTATCCTTGTGATTGCTTGACTGTTTGATTGGATCAGAAGTTTGCAGCCCAATATGTAATGTAACATTTATTTCTATATTTCTACATTACCGTTAACTTAGTTGGAAATTAGTTTTGGCTTTATTCAGCTATTTAATTTTTTTGGCTATACTTCTCCTAAGAATTACAGGACTGCAGTTCGTTCTACACTCCTGTGACCTATTTTTAGCCAACAGTGGGCTAAAGCCTGCTATCGGCTGATGTTACTCAGCTGCTCCAGGCTCGGGAAAGATCCCAACTTTACAGTCAGGATCCACCCATATGCTTTGACTGGCAGATGGCTCAGCCTCTCAGCATGCGTCTGAGAGCCTGAGCCAGCCCTTGCCACCCCCTCCACGGCCCAGCACTCCAGTGAGCACTGGAGGGGCAGAGCAGAGAGACAATGTCTGACAGTTACCACTCTCTGCTCAGAACGGAGGGAGATAACTGAGCAATCAGCGGTGTTTGATCGCTCAGTTCTTGGGGAAGTGCCGTTGGGGGACAGCTGCAGCTGGGATTGGTGCTGCAGCCATCTAGGTGAGCATAATTTTTTTTCTATTCCTGAACTTCTCTTTTAAATTTTTACAGCATTAAATGGTTGTTTTATATCTATTTGTATTAAATGCACCAAATTTGTGTTTTACATATAAACATTTATTACATGACACATAATTCCTAACTCACTTTTGGTTAGCTAAAGAGATAATAACAGAGAAAGACTTCTTTCCAGCTACCTTTGATTAAAAAAGGCTTCTTTCAGCACA